TTTTATATAATGTCTTTTATATTCTTCATAAACAGAAGTATAAGTAGCATCAGTAGGTAAATAAATAAAAACATCAGAATCTTTACGATTTCGCATTGGTGAAGGTAATCCACAATCAAGAGCATAGTTATTTAAAAAGTTTTTAACTGAAGTTGCAATTTCATTTGTTATTTTAATTTTAGATTCCAGTGATGGTGCACGACCTGTATTTCCATGAATACGCTCATCAAGTCCATATTGTTTGTAATGATCTTGTAAATTTTCCAAAGTCCGTTTCCCAATACCACATAATTTCATAAAAATACTCTGACATATTTTTATCAAACCATTAAATTGATATTTATAGTAAACTTTTTGGTCATCTTTATTACTAGAGAGATTTCCCATCATTAGTTGTGTTTTAATAAATAAATCTTTTTCTTTTTTATCTAAACCTTTTAAATGAATTAAACGTTCAAAAAATGGTTTAAAACCAATTATTTCAAAGCAAGGGTGAAAATTTTTAGTATTACTACGTCTATAACAAGTGCAATTTTCAGAGTTATGGAAAATTTCTTGCACTTCAGCAATGGTATTAAATACAAATTCATTTTCTTCATATTCTTCTAATCCCAGTTCTACCAAATCAAAAAAAAGTTTTTCAACAGACATTTTTAATTGTAGTACAGATCGGATGATCAACAAAAATGGGGTGCTTTTTGTTTTTATGAATATCTCAAAAACAAAAAATCTGAAGAAACCCACTTTTTCCTAGAACAGCCCCCATATGCGGATTTTTTTATGGTGCCCCCTTTTTTTCTCTAAAAAAGGAAACAGTGTCACAAAATATTTTGCTATTATTTTTTAAATAAATATTACATTTTATTAGTATTATGAACTTTCAATCACTAAGGCTTCTGGAAAATCGTCACATTTATAAAATTATTAGAGGTTTTGATCAGGATATATTTGTAGAACAGTGCTATGGAGACAGAATCTTTATTTCATACAATTTTTTCGGAAATTGCAATAGATAGAAGTATAATGATAAAGAAAGAAATTTTCTGTATTTCGAAAGAGTTTTTTAACGCCACTGGTATTTTTAATCCAATAAATCTTTCCATAGCTCTAATCTATATTACATATACTATCTTGTACACTAATTTGGTGTCTATATCTTTGAAAACGGAGGAGGAGTAGTGGTTTGAAAACAGCATGTTTTATTAGCGTTTTATTAGTATTATGAACTTTCAATCACTAAGGCTTCTGGAAAATCGTTACATTTATAAAATTATTAGAGGTTTTTGATCAGGATACATTTGTAGAATAGTGCTATGGAGACAGAATCTTTATTTCATACAATTTTTTCGGAAGTTGCAATAGATAGAAGTATAACGATAAAGAAAGAAATTTTCTGTATTTCGAATGAGTTTTTTTACGCCACTGGTATTTTTAATCCATTAAATCTTTCCATAGCTCTAATCTATATTACATATACTAACTTTTACACTAATTTGGTGTCTATATCTTTGAAAACGGAGGAGGAGTAGTGTTTTGAAAACAATATGTTTACTATGTTCTTTATGTAAATTTCGGAAATTCTGTATATGATATGCAGATCACAAAAAAAAATCACATATTGATATAACCAATCAATATATGACATTAATTAGTTTTGATTTTCTTAGAATGTCGCACACCCCAACGTTTTATGATGTTGCAAACACTACCCTTTGAAATTTTGAGCTTTTTTGAGATTTCTGACATACTATTTCCAGATAGATGAAGACCCAAAACTTTTCCACAGTCAAGTTCAGTCAGTTCCGCATATTTTGGCATTTTTATGATTTTAATAAAATTTTTTTGCAGATCACGATTTAGATCTAGAAAAAAAAATAACGAAAGAAATAAAATCTAGATGCGTTAAAGTAATTAAAATCATATAGTTCATTCTCCAAAACCATAACTTTTATATGATATAATTTTAAATATTTTTATTATAAAAATTTTTGAAAAATCACGAAAATACTGTAAACATTTTAAAATTTAATCAACTTTCGGTTTTTTTAAATTAATAAAGTACTAGAAATACAAAAAACATCAAATTTTATACAAAAACGAACAAGAACCTAGGCCGTATAATATTAAAATGTTATGTGTTGTTATTATGTAGTATTTTGCGTAATTAACAAAAAACATCGTTCACAAACTTTTGTCCGGGTAGTGTAGTTTAGCTATGCATGTAAAATTTTATGTTTCTGGATTTTACCAATTAAAAATAAAAATTTTCGATCATTTTAAGTTCAAAATTTTTAAATATGATGATTTAAGATCCTTATTTCTCTGGTATAAATTTTATTGCATGATTTTTTTAAAAATTTTTCGTTAATTTTTAAAAATTCAAGATTTACTATTAATAGATTTTTTCCAGAAGTCTTAGAAACATAATCTTCAGAGTTTTATTTTAATTATTATGGTTAATCGATGAATTTGGTGCACTCAATACTTTTGCTACGATACTGTATCTATAACAATAAGCCGGCTTCCATAGTTTATAGCATTTATGAAACTGTATTATTTCTGTCTAGCAATTTCAAGCAAGTATAGTTTCAACTTTTGATTTTGTTCAGATTCTTCCCAAAGAATTCAGTTTTATAAGCGACCAATTTTTTTACTATTATAATCAAATATTTCCCACACGACAAATTGTATTATAGTTCAGGAGAAATAGAAAAATTTAAAAATTTAAGAATTTTAGAAACTGTGACACAGCTTTAATTTTTAATTATAAAACCGCGGTTCAACTAGTCGAACAGACAATTTATGAATCAAACTGTTCCCATCTCTAACGTTAACAAGTCCGATTGATTCTGATGAAGATTTTGTTTTTATAATTTTTGCTGATAATTTGCTACTCAAATTTTTATTCCTCTCCTGAATTTTACCACTTGAAGTTTTGTTTTGTGCAGGATTGAAGTGGGACAACTCGATTTCACTACAAATAACAATGTGTGCCAAACTTGTTCCTACGAACAACCAGTGTGTGAAATTGAGTGCGGGAGCGTGGGTTACATAAAAAATGCGCACATTTTGTTGATATTGAATAACTATTTATCTTTCTTTTTTATTTGTCCAATGTTCATATCCTTTCTCAAAATCAAAATTCTTGAATATCTGGATCATTTAGCAAAATCATTAAATGACTATTCAATACATCTACCTGCATTCTGTTTCTCAATTGGTTTTTTATCAGATTTGTTTGTGAAAATATTCTTTCAACATGTGCATTGGGAAAAGGCATAAGGAGTGTTATCTTAACAATAATTGTTAAATTTATATAATAATTTTCACCTGTATCCAAAATGTGTTTCCACAATTGAATGAAATACATTCTGTATTTTTATAGGGATACAAATAGAATTTTAGAGAGTTTCACTCTTCTATGAGTTTTCCTTTTTCAACAATTTCACAGATTCGTCATTAACCAATCTAGTATCTCTATACAATTTATCTAAAAACTCTATCTCACTCTGACCATATATATTTAAATCATTTTCAGTATCAGGAAGTTCGTTTGGATCAAAAATTCTAACAAAGAAAATAGTTCAGAGTCAGGTAATCTATCATTGATGGTTTTTATCATTGCTAGTGAGTAATCTTTAACAAATGAAGGTGCTGAAAGATAATTTTTCTCTAAATAATTTTTGAATATCATGCCATGATTTGCTAGAACTTCTTCATCACCTATAAATTCTGCTATTATCTCTTTAATTGCAGCATCAATGTTTGGTTTATATTGTGATAAAGATAAATTATCTAATTGAAATATTTTTATTAATCTTTTCAAAATATTGTAAATTAGCAAGAAACATTGTTGCAGTAATGAAATCTTGATCCAATTGCCCAAGTAAAAACATTTGCATGCTCATCACCTTCTAACATATCATCATTTAAAGCAGCAAGTACTGAATTCATGATTTGATATAAATTATGTACAGGATTTGATAATGACAACCATCAAGTGTCACATAAATTCAATACTTTAAGTGTTGGTTCATCATTAATTTCCTGCATCAATTTTAATAAGTTTTGTCTTTTATGTGATCTAGAAAAATATGAATATAAATTTTGTAATATTTTTCATATTTTTGAAAATATTCTACTTTATCAGAAGCATCCTTTTCATCTAAATGAAACCAATGTGATATACAATGAATTGAGGACATAAAAGTATTGATTTTTTTTAACCTTGTAGCAACATCACTTTTATTTCCTGTCATATTGGAAGCCCCATCACTTCCAAAAATGAATTATTTTGTGATATGATATTTCATTTGAAATACAAAATGATAAGATTTGGTAATAAATATTTTCTGCAGTGGTAGATTCTAGATTAATCATGCCCAAATATTTCATATGAGGAATGTTATTAACAATATATTTTTCCATAATTGCTAAATATTTATTGTTATCAATACTGTTGGCTTCATCAATCATTATACTCCAATAAATTAAGGAGTTCAATTCTTCAAAAAGTGATTTTTTTATTACAGAAGCTATACTATCCAAAAAATCAGAAGCAGATTTAGGATTCGTATAGCTCCCATATGTTGATCTAGGAGTATATATTTTTTCTAAAGCAGTAGGTTTCAGATTAGAAGTTTTTTCAGTAATTATTAATTTATTATTTTTTTCAAATTGTAATGTCATTAATTTACATAGATCAGGATAAATATGAGTGGAAAGATGATTTTTCATTAATGAAATAATTGCTAATTAATTTTTATTTATTTCATTTTGAAGTTGGGTGATTCTGATGTCTCATGTTCATTCGTTTTTAAATGTCTTTTAATTCCTTCTAGATTTAAATCTTTGTGCCTTGTGCAAATTTTGTACTTCCATTTCTACTTCTACAGAGTTTACAAAAAAGGACTGTATCTTCACTTTCTTCATCTTTTTCTAACCATGTATAATCATGAAACCAATTTTTGTTAACAGTTTTCTATTATGTTTTCATTGATTAAACATTTTAAATGAATGAATAACAATAAAAAATTGTTTTTTTTTTTCTTGATTTGATTTGAATTGAAATATTGAATTTTAAAAAATCAATAAGCATCAATGACAAAAAATGGAATTATTCTAGTGTGTTTGTTTATTTTCGTTATCAATAAAAATAGAATTAATACCCGAAACTATCAATAATAATAATATTAATAAAAAATGGAATTATTCTAGTATAATAAATAAAAGTATATTTGTTTATTTTTCGTTATTAATAAAAATAGAATTATACCCGAAACCGATATTGTTGACAAAAATGGAATTTTTAGTTATCAATAAAAAAATAGAATTATACTACTCAAAATCGACAGTAAAAATGTAATTAAAATATTAATTAGTTTTCAATTTGTTACACGAATTTTCTGCTAATGTATTATTGGCTACCTTTAATGTAACACACGTTCCCCGCACTCAATTCACGCACTGCGAACAACTCACCTGCAACTGAAAATATTACTGACAAATTCGTTGCTTCCACTGCTGAATGCCTACAATTTACACCTGCATAAGTAAATGAGTCGTAAGCATTTTTTCCCATCATCAAATAATTTTGTTGTTCCTCTTTCTTCTTTTGCGCAGCTTCTTCTTTGCAAGAGGAAGAAGAAAAAGAACCAAATAAAGATTCAATTAGTAGATCGTACATTTCGGGTTTGAATGGTAGTCACTTACGGAAAGGACTATTAGTAGAATTGTTTAAAATATATTAAATAATCGACGTATGCCTATAAAAATTTATTTATGGCAAGAGTTTCAGTAGATTTTGGCATGATATGGAAATCTAATTGGTAATTGAAATTTTATTTTGGTAAATGTTTCATTGTCCACACTGCTATATGTAGTATCTGTGCGTAAATTCTCACAATCTAATAAACATAATGGGATAAAATGGAAGACAAGGTTTTCGTCTTTTTCGAAAAAATGAAAATTTTCGTTACATTGTTTAATTGTTTAAATTGTAAATTGTCTAAATTGTAAATTGTTTAATTGTAAATTGTTCCGTCTTTTTCAAAAGAAAGGATTTATTATTATTGTTTTGCTTTGTCTTACATTTCACGCATTTAATATTCTTTTTTTAAATTCATTTAAATTCTTGTTAAATTCTTGTTTAAATTCTTGTTTAAATTCTTGTTAAATTCTTGTTAAATTTCTTTTGAAAAAAAATATTAAATGTTTTTGGTAAACAAAAGATTTTTTATTTGCCAATATTAAGAGCGAGTAATTAAAAATCTGCAAGTGACACAGAAAAATTTCGATTTCATGCAGGGCGCGAAATACCAAAATAGGTTGCTCCAAAAATTCCGTCGATCCTTGATTTCATCATAAAAATCATTCGATTAAAAGACGGAAGAACTTAATCAACTTAACGTTTAACCAAAGATACAATTATAGATGTCGAAAGTACTTTTGATGAGAATGGAAAATTAAGATATGGAAATCAATCTAATAAATTCTTGGATAACGTTCTGGAATTTTATGATGATGATGGTATTCATGAAATTATGTTGGAAGAAAAGAGATGATAAATTTGCATCTTTGGTTGTTTTAAAGCTTGAAAATCGTTTCCAATCTGTTAAATGCTATGAAAAATTTTTATTATATCAGTATGGTCACCAAATGTGAGGAACTCAATCAAAGTTGTGGAAGGAATTCACAGATGATGAGAAGCAAACCTTTTATCAACTTATATAATACTGCTCAGAAAATTTTCAGTCTGAAATTTTCCGCGTCAAATCTATTCTAAAAGGTCAATAATGATATATACAAAAATTTTGCTGGACCAATTATTGATCCAGATAATATCGATGACAAAATTTCTCAATTTATCCCAATATCATAAAACTTTTATTAATCCCCTTTTTTCAAGTGTTGAATGCGAGAGAGAGTCTCCAAGGAAAAATTTACAGATCATTGAGGTTTATTAACCAATGAAACATGATTGGACACAAGATTTTTCAGAAATACTGATTTTTACAACGAAAAGATCTGCATAATAATAATAATAATAATAAAATAAATTTAGCCGTATTGTCGATCATGTAAAAATCATCCAATTAACGCAGTAAAATTTTTGCTTGTAAATCCAAAATAATAAAGCCGATTTACCATTACTATTTATAGGAATCATTAAGATAATGATAATCAATCAATGATTTCTCTCGTACCACACACAAATATTTAACAAACAAGCACACACACTTCCCTTTAAGCAAATTAAAAGGGAATTCTATAATAAGAAATTAATTTAGAATTAAGCATTCATTATTTATTTATTGATTCACCTTACATGTTTATTATTATTTATTTTATCGTTAATAAAGAAATAATCTATAAAATAAAATGTATTTATCCTTCTTTCAAAAAAATTATTTATTGTCAATTTTTAATGAGTTTATATATAATTAATTATATATAAAAAATAAAATTTATCATCAAATAAAATAAAATAAAATAAATAAAATAACAATGATGAGTGAATTCCCACGCATTTCATTACCTGTACCTTTAATGAAACCACATTATGATGTGGTAGTTATTGGTTCAGGTTATGGAGGTTCAATTGCTGCTTCACGTATGTCAAGAGCTGGAAAACGTGTCGCTCTTTTAGAAAGGGGCAAGGAAAGATGGCCAGGCGAGTTCCCACAAAAGTTACACGAATGCGTAAAAGAGTTTCAAGGTTCCATTCAAACAAAATCTCTTGGTCAAAAAACCGGTTTATATCATCTTTATGACGGTGAACAGCAAGATGTTCTTTGTGGTTGTGGGTAAGTAATATATATGTGCGCGTGTGACGTATTATTTTCGATTGGATTCTCATAAAAAAAATTAATCGAATAATTTAATTATTAATTAGTCTTGGAGGTACATCACTTATCAATGCCAATGTTGCTCTCGAAGCCGATGAACGTGTTTGGAAACAAACTGTATGGCCACGAGAAATTCATGAGGATATGGAAAGTATTGAACGAAGTACGTAATAATAATATAAATTCATCATTCATTATAATAATAATCATCACCATAACGATAATGTAATAAATTGCAGACTATGGTAGAGCAAAAGAAGTAATTCATCCATCCCCATATCCCGAACATTTTCCTGAAGTTCCAAAACTGAAAGCTTTAGAAGAACAAGCCAAGAGATTAGGCGAAGAGTTTCACAAGAACTTTAAACGTATACCCGTTGCCATCTCATGGGAGGATCGTGTTAATTATGCTGGTGTTAGACAAAATGGTTCAACATTGGTTGGTAATGATGTTTCTGGTAATAATGATGGAAGTAAAAATACAATGTTGATGACTTATATTCCTGATGCTTGGAATCATGGATGTGAAATATTCTGTGAAGTTAACGTGCCAAGAATAAAAAAAGATAGTAAATCTAATAAATGGATTGTATTCTATGAATGGTTAGATGTAAGTATAATTAATTATTAATTAATTACATGAAAAGAATATTTTATCTACTTAATTTATTTATTAACATAATATAAATTTTTATAGACCGAAAGATGTACTTTTTCAGATGAAAGTACAGTGCATCTTTATTTTGTTACTGCAGATTCAGTTTTTATTGGTGCTGGAACTATGGGTTCCAATGAAATTTTATTGAGATCAAAACTTTATGGTTTGCCAACTAGTCCAAATGTAGGAAAAGGTTTTAGCGGGAATGGTGACGTAAGTAGTTGATTAACTAATTGGTAGGATGGGATGGATGGACTGGTGGATGAATTTATTAATGAAATTTTTTTTATTTCAATAGATTTTGGGATTTGCTTTTAATTCAGACATACCTGTTCATGGTAAGATTTTCGCAACACATTATTTTGTGATAAAAAAATATTAGAATTAAATAATTAAATAGTTTATAATTAAATTACAGCTGTTGGAGTTAAGGAACGCTCACATCAAAAGAAAGCTGTTGTTGGTCCAGATATATCCGGTGTCATTGACATGCGATTGACTGGTGGAGAATTTGATGGTTATGTGATAGAAGATGGTACGCTTCCGCATGCTATCAGAGCACTCGGTAAACTAGTTATCCATACTACTGATAATTTTTGTGGAGTAGATCCTCCAAATATCGGTATTAGCAAGTCAATAGCTAGAAAATGGAGAAAATTTGTTACAAATCTTGCGGGCGTTTATCAAGGTGCAATGCTGAATACACAAATATATTTAGTCATGTCACATGACGATCATTCTGGTCAAATGGAATTAGTTGATGACAAACTTAAAATTCAATATCCTGGAGTTGGCGAGTCAAAAAATGCCATAAAAATTAATGAGGTGTTGAAAAATGCTGCATTTTCCATTGGCGCATCCTGGGTTCCATCGCCAACATGGAATAAACTCAATCATCGTGGTCTGGTTAGTGTTCACCCTCTTGGTGGTTGTAATATGGCATCAGATGGTAGTAAAGGTGTTGTTAATCACAAGGGTCAAGTAAGTTTTTATTTTTTGAAAAATAAAAATAAAATCCATACATAGATATATAATTTATTAAATATAAATATTTATTTAAGGTATTTACAGGCTCTGGTGTAGAAGTTTACGAAGATTTATATATATGTGATGGTTCAATTGTACCAACATCACTTGCAATTAATCCATTCTTAACTATTTCCTGTCTATCTGAAAGAATTTGTGAACTGGCCGCAAAAGATAATGGTTTGAAAATTGATTATAAACCTGCAGAACAACTTATAGACTTTACAAAACCACTCAAATCATTTAGAGATGAAACTCATGAACTTGTTAAACTTTCACGAAAAGGTCCTTTAGAAAAAGGTATCTCCTTCACTGAAGTAATGAAAGGTTATTTCTCAACTGAAATTATTTCTAAAGATTTTGCGGTTGCTGAAAGTAAGTCATCATATTGTATTAGAGTTAGTATTATTTAATTTGCACGTATATTAATAATGCTGTTCAAATAATTTATTCAATGTATTTATATAGAACAAGCTAAATCTGCCGACTCAACAATGCAGTTTTTATTGACGATAATTTGTCAGGACACCGATAAACTTATTGATTTGGACGATAATTGTGCATTCATAACTGGAACTGTTTCATGTCGAGCCTTGTCACCTGATCCATTACTCGTGACCAGAGGAAAATTCCGTCTTTTCGTACCTGAACCTGATAGTGTTGACTCAAATAGAATGATTTACAACTTGAATTTATTGGCTACTGATGGGTCAAAATATCGATTTAAAGGATTCAAATTGGTTAATAATTCAAATGTTCTTCATGCCTGGTATCAGACAACCGCTCTATTTGTCTCTGTTTACCTTAGAAACAAAAAAGATGATGATCTTGAACTTGATGAAATTAATGCAAATCAAGGGGGTATAGGAGAAGTGGATGATGATGAAAATGAGAATTTACAAATTGTTGGTAGAGGAATTTTAAGAATAAGACCATTTGATTTCTTTACACAACTTAGAACGATTGAGGTATTTTTTTTTTAAAAATTTTTTTTTTTGATTTTTGATAAATATTTATCGTTATTTATTTATTTATTTTTTTGAATTATGGTAGGCGTCCGGAACTAAAAGGAGTTCAGCGTTCTTATCATTCCATCGATTCTTTGTTATGACTTTAATGAAACATTCTTTTGCTATACTACGCAGTTTGGAGTATCCAACCACTTTATCCGCAAAACTATTAACCCATTCAAAATTTATAAGGCCAAAAAAGAAAACTTATACCATCACATCTGAGGATGGTATCAAGTCAGCATTACATAGATATGAAGGTGGAAGAAAAGGTCCTGTATTATTGGTAAGTTAATTATTAATTATTAATTGATTAATTAATCTATTCTTTTATTTTACTTTATTCTAATAATTTTATAATATTATTAGACACATGGAGCAGCAATGACTTATGAAATGTGGTCTACAGATTTTTCTAAAAACAATTTATTGGATTATCTTTTGGAAAATGGATATGACGTTTTCTTAAATGATTACCGTCTTGCACCAACAAATGCAGCAGTGCATGATCAACATACTGTTGATAAAGTTATGTTGGATCAGGTAGCTGCTGTTAATGAAGTTCGTAATATTACTGGTGTTGAAAAAATTGCTGTTATAGCACATTGTGTTGGTTCTCTTATTACTTTTATGGGAGTATTAAGTGGTCAAATTAAAGGTGTAGGAACAATTATTTGTTCTTCTACGGTATGTAATAATATTATTGCCAGAATGATTAGAATACTTTATGATTTACGTAAATTGATATATGCATACATATCTTTTATGAATCCATTTATATTTACACGTTCTCTCTTATACACACACACACATATAGTCAATGCATCCATATCTTGGATTTTGGAATAGAGTGAAAATGAATTTGAGATTAATTGATGTTTATAGATATGTCTTACGTCGACCAGCATTTGATGTAAGAACATCGGCTGACACCAATTTCATTGATCGAATCATCAATCAACTATTAAGATTTTATCCAGTACCAAAAGGACAAGTGTGTCGAAATGCATTGTGTCTTAGAG